CCCCGTCGCTGCCCTGTGGCCTCGGATTTTATGCTCTTCGTGGCCCACGCTGGCTTTTCCCACGATTTACTTGGGAGTCGCGCTATCGCTCGAGACTTCCTCGCGATTCATGCAGGACCCACGCTTCAGCAACCCGCCTGCTCGACCTCGTCGCCTGGGCCCGCCTTCCCGACCTGCCCGGTATGGGTCTGCCCACCCGATCTGCCCGTCTGGTTCTACCACTTGTTTTCTACTCCTTGCCCCCCTCCCGCTAATTTCTCTCGTGCTCCATTCTTCTCCCTCCCCCTTCCACCCGTCCTCTCTTCCCTTGTTTTAGGGGCTGCACTAAATACACGTGGCAAGTAAGGAATATATACCCCCAAGGGGGTACGATCGAAGACGACGAGGGCGGGTACTCAGGGTTTGGGAAATACGTATTGGTTGGCACGTGAGCAGATATGAACGATCAGTCTTAAAATGTTTGTTGTTGTTGTTGTTGTTGTTGCTGTTGTTGTTATTATTGTGGCTGTTGTTGTTTTTGTGGTTGGTTGTTGTTGTTGCTGCTGTTTCTGCTGTTGTCGTTGATTTCCCTCTATCTCTCTTTTTCCCTCTCTCTCTCTCCCCCTCTCTCTCCCCCTCTCTGTCTGTCTGTCTGTCTGTCTGTCTGTCTGTCTGTCTGTCTGTCTGTCTGTCTGTCTGTCTGTCTGTCTGTCTGTCTCTCTCTCTCTCTTCGTCCTTGTGTGTCATGTTGATCATCCTGGATTGCCGTCTGGGCCTGCGTCGGTTGCTGTTGATGGTGTGTGTGTGTGTGGGGGGCACTCGGAAGATATGACGGAGTTGGAGGTGGTGTTCGTCTTTGCTTGCCTTGGCTATCTCTTCCGCCGTGAGCACCCGGGCTCCCTGTGCTGCACTTGCGGGAGGGGCCGCGCGCGCGCGGCCCCTCTGCTCACGCTGCGGGCGGAGCGCCCCCGGGAATGGAGGCGGGGGCCGCCTTCTCCTCCTCCTCCTCCTCCTCCTCCTCCTCCTCCTCCTTCTCCTTCTCCTCCTCCTCCTCCTCCTCCTCCTCCTTCTCCTTCTCCTTCTCCTTCTCCTCCTCCTCCTCCGGAGGCAATGAGGCAATGACGGCAATGGAGTTCTCCGAATGCTGCCGTCTCCCCCAGGGAGGCCCGGTCGGGCCCCCCGTGGGGAATACACCAAGGCACAACACTAGGGGCCGAGGCCCCGCAGGACAGGAGGGAGGGAAGAAGGGAGGAGGAGGAGGAGGAGGAGGAGGAGGAGGAGGAGGAGGAGGGGAGGAGGAGGAGGAGGAGGAGGGAGGAGGAGGAGGAGGAGGAGGAGGAGGAGGAGGAGGAGGAGGAGGAGGAGGAGAGAGGAGGAGGAGGAGGAGGAGGAGGAGGAGGAGGAGAGGAGGAGGAGAGGAGGAGGAGGAGGAGGAGGAGGAGGAGAGGAGGAGGAGGAGGAGGAGGAGGGGGGGTAGCATCGACATCATCACATAGTCACAAAAAGGACGGAACACAGGGAGAGACAAGGTGGCAGCGCGGCGGCAGTGTGGCGGCGGATGCACGGGTTGGGCCCCGAAGGGGCCTCATGTGGGTCCCCCCTCTTTCGGGTCGCGTGGCCGTGTCGGCCACCGCCCGGGAGGGTGCCCAAGCGCACCCCCCCCTTGTAGAGGTGCCTTATTTCCTCATTTGTCAGAGGCAGGGGGGGAGGTGAGGTGCTGCGGCAGGCTGCGGTAAAGTTAAGGGGCAGGTGGTGTACTGCGGCAGGCTGCGGCAGGCTGAGTAAAGCAAGAAGGCGTGGAGGTTGGGGAGGTTGAAACGCCAGTTCAAAGGTTGGCTGAAAATAGAGTTGTCAGTTTAAGTGGTGTGCGGTGGCAAGACCATGCCGCAGGGCCTCTCTGGGTGTGGCTAGCTGCAAGGGGAAGGCCCGAAAGCCCCCCCCTCTGCTCCTGGGAATCCCCCGCGGGCGTCCCAGAGGCCGACTGCGGCATCCCTCGCCTGCGCGCAGGCGCAGGGTTCCCCGCACGTCGGTCTCTGGGCCGCCTCGGGAGTTTTTCGCTGTCGGGGACACCTGCCCCAGGGCGGCTGGAAAGTTTATACCCTTACGGTGGCACCGTAGGGGTATAAACTTTCCAGCCGCCCAGGGGCAGGTGTCCCCGACGGCGAAAAAGTTTATTTTATACCGTTCTTCGCTCGCTGACCTGTGGACGCGCGGCGACGGCGCTGGCCACGCTCGCCAGAGGTGGATGTCAGAAGGGCCTCACCTCCTGCGCATAAGAAGCGCCCCGAAGCAGCCGCCACCCCCGTGGCTGGGACTCTCTCCCCCGCCGGGGCAGGAGTACGGTGCCCAGGCCGCGGGAGTGGTGGCTGCACGGGGGACTTCCGCCGCGCTCTGCAGTGGCCTCTGCAATCCGTGGCGGTAGCCTGTGGGGTGACAGGCGTCGCAGGCGGTCGAGGACCGCAGCTGCCGACGGTGCGAAGTGGATGGAGGGGGCTGCGGAGTTCACTGACGGTTTTTTGTGGCTGGTGCCGCGGGCGCCCCCGGCCCTTGCCAGGATTGCCGTCGGAGAGCTCCCCCCCCGTCCCGCCCAGATAGAGCCCGACCCATGCCCCGCCGCTAGCTGGGGGGTGACGAGGAGGTGAGCTGGGTACGGTGGGGGAAGATGGGGCCGCGAGAAGATGGGCCAGGAGGAGGGGAAGGTTGGAGGTCGGTGGGGGCCCTATGGCTCACGTGCGGTCGCCTGAGAGTGATCGCAATCGCCACTTATGTTCACGATGTGCTGCCGGTGCCACTAATGTTCGCGCTGTCGAGTACTGCCGTATCACGCTGTAGATATGCGCAACGGAGGTCGACTCCCATACCGCCAGCTGTGCTGCTTTCGACTTCACGGTGAGTGCGCACATGTCGGTTAAAGGAGCGTGTAGAGGTGGGAGTGGGTGTGTAGCAGGTGGCGGTCCTGTCAGCATAAACCAAAAGCATTGCGTGGGAAGAAGCGCACTGATCGGCCGCCGTTAGGCCAGTCCGATCGCGAGGATTGCCTCGTGTTGTGGACGGTCAGGGGGGAGTCTCCTGCTTCGCCGTAGGTGGGTCGTGCTGGTCAGGCTGATCAGCTTTGACGGCGTCTGCATAGGTCGGTCGTGGATGCCACGGGTCGGGCCCGTGGGGTGGGAGAGCCTCCTTGTTCGTCTCCTGCTGGTCGCCCTGGTGGCTGATGCTGCGGTGTCCGTCTGCGGGCGGTGTCGTTGCTGGCTTGCTTTCGCCTGCGTGCGGAACGTCCCTCTCGGTGTTATGGTCCGTAGTCATGTTGCGGGTCGTTGCAGCCTTGCTGGTATCGCCGATGGTGTGCTGCTGCGTCAGGTGTAGTGTTTGGTGGTCGGCGGTGCTGCTATCTGCCGTTCGGCCAGTCGGGGCATTGGTCCGTTTGGGCTGCAACGAGCTGGCCTTTCTGGTCTGCTCCACTGAACTCAGTCCTGAAGTCGGTGACCTTTAGTTCAGGTGTCCAAGTTGGTGTGGTGCGGTCCCGATGTGCGGGTCGGTAGGTGGCAGAAGGTCGTATGCAGTCGGCGGGTCTGGTGTCGGCTGTCGGTTCTGGTGGTTCTGTGCCTCACTCTCTGGCAAGGGGGTCTGGTTGGTGATGAGCTCGGCCATCTTGACCATTGCTTCGATTGCGATTTCCTTCTCTAGGTCGGTGACGAGCAATGGTGTCGGCGTGCACGTGGGGTTGTGTTGTATAGATTAGATACCCTGGTGCCCGTAATGCTATTTCTCGTATGCTGCAGCATCGCTGCTTGGTCATGCATGTCGTCGTATCTGCGGCTCTTGGGGTAGGTCAGCATGTTGGCCAAGCAATGGTTTGCGTAGTTAGCCAAATCCTTCTGTCGCCGGTTCATGTAGAGAGGGCGCGCGTCCCGCAGCTCGTGGGACCCGCAGTAGCTTTTGAGAGCCCTTTCCACGTATGCCATGACCTGGTGGTACTCGATGCGGAGGTCGTCGGCTTTCGCGTCTCTGTTGGTTTTTGCTGGTTCAGTCAGTTCGCGCATCTCGTCGAAGTGGTGGAGGATCGCCTCGTGGGTGTCTTTCGGTCATCACGTGCTCGCGCTCGTATCGGTCGTCGCTGATTATGACGGTCAGGCGTTCGATGATGTCGTGCGTGCGGTCTTTGATCTGCATCCCTGTTGTAATACCTTGCGGTGGTGAAGGTGGTGGTTGCTTTGCGAGCTCAGTGGCTACGTCTCGGATGCGCTTGATGTCGTCGTCGTTAGCCCTCGTGGTTGTTGTGTCTCAGCCCGTCGTGGTTTGGCTCGCGACTGCCCCCTTGATGTGGTTATTTCGTGGCGTGGTCGGCGGCGGCTTTGTAGGTGCGTCCTGCCATAGCTGGGATGTGCTCGGTTGCTTGCCCTCGCTGCCGCATGCTGTTTCTGCAGTGGTGTGCTGTGCGATCGGGGATGGCGTCGGAATAGCCGGTGGAGCTTTGTAGCGTAGCGGGAGGTACGGTCTATTGTTTGTTGGCACTGACGTCGTTGTTATGGACTCCTTTGGCGCCTCGTAGTGTTTAGGCTGGGCTCGTAGGTTGCTGATGGGGGCTGACCCCTCGTGGCTGGAAGAAGCGAGGGCCCCTTGAATCGGGGCGGGCATCAGGTCAAGCAGTAGTGTGGTCACAATCGTATTTTGCGGTCTGATGTTTGAGTCCGTCGTTCACAATGTGCGGCTGTGCTGCGCAAGTCTCTGCGATGATCATGCGCTTTCTTGCTGGGTGCCAAGGTTGTCGTATTGATTGGTGAGTACTAGCCGCGTGAGGCGGCCGGTATCGGTGTCGGAACGCTTCATGCCGGTTAAATCGCTGTCGGCAATGTAGCCTCTTCCCCTCTACTCCTCTTCCCTTCTCTCTTGTCCTCCTCCCCCACTCATTCTGCCTCGCCCTCCCTCCCCTCTCCTCCTCTCCCCCTCTTCCTTCTCCCTCCCTCGTCCTCCGCATCCCTTCCTCCTCTGACCCCCCGCGTCCCTCGCGCGCGCCCAGGCACCAGCGCGCCAAGTGCGGCGTCGAAGGGGCTGCCGGCGGTGAGGAGCGGAAGCCTCAGTCCGCCCACACAGAAGGGGACGGAGGCGCGAAGGGAGGAGGAGGAGGAGGAGGAGGAGGAGGAGGAGGAGGAGGAGGAGGAGGAGGAGGAGGAGGAGGAGGAGGAGGAGGAGGAGGAGGAGGAGGAGGAGGAGGAGGAGGAGGAGGAGGAGGAGGAGGAGGAGGGGAGGGATGAGGAGGAGGAGGAGGAGGAGGAGGAGGAGGGGATGAGGAGGAGGAGGGAGGAGGAGGAGGAGGAGGAGGAGGAGGGAGGAGGAGGAGGAGAGGAGGAGGAGGAGGAGGAGGAGGAGGAGAGAGAGGAGGAGAGGAGGAGGAGGAGGAGGAGGAGGAGAGGAGGAGGAGGTGGAGGAGGAGGAGGAGGAGGAGGAGGAGGAGGGGAGGGGAGGAGGAGGAGGAGGAGGAGGAGGAGGAGAGGAGGAGGAGGAGGAGGAGGAGGAGGAGAGGAGGAGGAGGGAGGAGGAGGAGGAGGAGGAGGGGAGGAGAGGAGGAGGAGGAGGAGGAGGAGGGAGGAGGGGGGGAGAGGAGGAGGAGGAGGAGGAGAGGAGGAGTAGAGGAGGAGGAGGAGGAGGAGGGCGGGGAGGAGGAGGAGGAGGAGGAGTGAGGATGGGAGGAGGAGGAGTGGAGGAGGAGGAGGAGGAGGAGGCGAGGAGGAAGGAGGAGGAGGAGGAAGGGGAGGAGGAAGGGGAGGAGGAGGAGGAGGAGGAGGAGGAGGAGGAGGAGGAGGAGGAGGAGGAGGAGGAGGAGGAGGAGGAGGAGGAGGGGCGCCCGTCGCCAAAAAACTCAGGATAACGAAAGGGTCGGATGTAGCAAAGGGTAGGGTCGAGAATCAGTTCTCGTAGCCGGTTTTCCTGGCGCCTCCCGGCGCCAGGAGGCGCCCATGCATTGAGGAATGGGCCTGGCGGTGGGGCGGACGCCAGCTTCATGCAGCAACTTTCGACCCCCTCCTTTTCCCTGTCCTACCCTTTCGTCTGGCCCGCCCGGGAAACCAACTATGTGGTGGGTTTCGGAAGCCTGAACCCTAAAAAAGGCTGCCATCTCTCGGCGCATGTTTTACCTCCGCCGGCCTTCCGCCGGCGGCGGCGGCGGCCTCGTTTTACTTCCGCCGCCTTCCGCCGCCCTTTCGCCGAGGAGACTTCTTCTCGACCCTCGAGGGCGAGGCCCTTTCTGGAGCGCCCCCCACGTGGCGTGGAGGCCCTGGGACGGCCAAGTTCTCGGGCCCCGCCCGTCCCAGACGCACGCCGGGCAGGCGGGAAACCCCCAGGCCCCCCCCCCCCATCCCAGAAGGAGGGGCCCGCGTCGCTGGCCGCCCCCTCCTCGGGCGGCGCGCAGAAGGGGGGCAGGGGGGAGGGAGGAAGGCTTCTTAGAGGCAGGCCGCTTCTTGGAAGGCGCTGGCCTCACATCTACAGACAAGGCCCGCCTCCTCTAAGGAACAGGGGCGCTTCCAAGAAGCCTTCCCCCCACTCCCCCTCCTTCTCGTCCTCCTCCTCCTCCTCTTCCTCCTCCATCTCCATTCCTTCTTGTAATACAATTATAAATAACTTCCCCCTGTCGCTCCCCGAGGCCAGTTTTTAGGGTGGGCCATGCGTTTCGCCTGAGACTTCCTCACCATTCATGACTCCGAAGCTTAACAATTGGCAATCGTTTCACAGATGGCGGGCGGGTGGTTTGCAAAATGTGGCTTTCGCCTTAGTGCGGCGCACATTCGTTTTAAACATTTGCAAAGGTTTCACGGATTGAGGGTGGGTCGTTTTCAAAATGTGGTTCTCGCCTTAGCGCGGCGCACATTCGTTTTGCAGGAGTTTCACGTATCGAGGCGGGTGGTTTTCAACATGTGGGTCTTGCCTTAGCGCGGCGCACATTCGTTTTAAACATTCCAGGGGTTTCACGGAATGAGGGCGGGTCGTTTTCAAAATGTGGCTCTCGCCTTAGAGCGGCGCACACTCGTTTTAAACACACACTCGTTTTAAACATTTGCAAGATGTTCACGGATTGAGGGCGGCTCCTTTTCAGAATTTGGCTCTCGCCTCAGCGCGGCGCACACTCGAGTAAAACAATTGTAAGAGTTTCACGGGTTCCCATCATCAACGTGTCATGACTGATGTTTTGAAAAGATTCAGGAGTATGCGGGTGCACCAGTTATGTTGATTCGCTGTGTTGATGTACCAGGAATGGTGTTCTGGCACGATTCAGGAGCGTCAAGACGCAACAGTCAGGTTGATCCGTGGCCTTGGAATCCCGATAACAACGTCTTCGTATGCTTCAGGGTCTTCAAACGGTTGTCTTTCAAAGAGGCAGTTCCTTCAATGGAAATGAACCGTTGTACGGGCCTATGAAGAGGGAGCTTGGAGGATGGGTCTACTCCAACATCGCTGATGACCCTTGGGTTGACACTGGTCCTCTTCTTTTTCTTCCTCCTCCTCCTCCTCCTCCTCCTCCTCCTCTCCTCTTCCTCCTCCTCCTCCTCCTCCTCCTCCTCCCCTCCTCCCCTTCCTCCTCCCCTCCTCCTCCTCCTCCTCCTCCTCCTCCTCCTCCTCCTCCTCCTCCTCCTCCTCCTCCTCCTCCTCCTTCCCCCCTCCCCCTCCCCTCCCCCTCCCCCCCCCCCTCCCCCGAGCCGGGGCTCTCCAGCAGCTCCGCGTCCCGCGAGGAGGGCAGGAAGCCGCCCACGTAGGGCTGCCGCCCCAGGAGCTCCTCCAGGCGGCGTCCGCCGCGCCGCCTCGCCGCCCTGCCCCCCCCCCCCCCCCCCTGGGCCCCTTGTGTCTCGGCGCCCTGTCGATGGCCCCTGGACACCCTCGCGCCGCGAGGAAGGCCACAACGGGAAAGACGGTCCGCCCGTACGGTCATCGGCTTGACCTCAGAACGATGAATCAGGAACGAGGCCCCTTTCTTCCAAGGAATAACGCATAGGGAACGATGAACGAATAATACATAGCGCATAGGGAGCGAGAAATAACGCATGCAAGTCTAAGGAATCCGCCGACCCTGTCGGCGTGTGTGAGGGGCTTTTCCGTTCGAGCCGTCATCTCCGTTATTCTTTGTACTCGTCGTCTCTGTCCTTCCCTTTCCCTGGGACTCCTCTTCCCCTGGGCTCCAGCCAAGCCGACCTTGAGCAACGTCGTAATTCAGTCGAAGGGAAGCCCCTTCCCTTTGATCCCTCCCCCGCCGGGAGGGGGGGGGGGGGTAGCGACCCCCCCCCGGGTCAGATACGACGCCCCCCCCCCGTACCGACCTTGAGCAACGTCGTAATTCAGTCGAAGGGAAGCCCCTTCCCTTTGATCCCTCCCCCGCCGGGAGGGGGGGGGGGTAGCGACCCCCCCCCCGGGTCAGATACGACGCCCCCCCCCGTACCCGACCTGAGCCCAAGCAAACGTCGTATTCAGTCGAAGGGAAGCCCCTTCCCTTTGATCCCTCCCCCGCCGGGAGGGGGGGGGGGTAGCGGGGGGGGGTAGCGACCCCTCCCCCGGGTCAGATACGACGCCCCCCCCCGTACCGACCTTGAGCAACGTCGTAATTGAGTCGAAGGGAAGCCCCTTCCCTTTCCCTTCCCCGACGGGGGGGGGAGGAGGGGTCCCGGGGGGGGTCCCAGGGGAGTCCCGGGGAAGTCCCGGGTCAGATACGACACCTCCCTCCCCCACCTTCTCGTCCTTCTCCCCGTTCCCCAAAACCATCCCACAGCCCGTGCCTCTTGCTGCGCATTGCGAACAGGGTCGGCGGCACCGGCCGTAAGGCCTTCGCAATAATACATAGCGCATAGGGAGCGAGAAATAACGCATGCAAGTCTAAGGAACGACCGAGCCCCTTTTGAAAAGCAAGCGTTCCTTATTCAAGCCGCTCACTGTATGATAAGGATGCGCGGGACCCAGTGGTCGGAAGGAGCAGGTCGAAACACGAAGCGGGAAGGCGTTGAAGATAGATTGGGTGTCCGCCCGCCCCCTGAAGAGGACGGAAAGGGTGAAGCCATTCGATCATTGAAGCAGCAAGGCGCTCAAGCAGATTGGAACCTGGGGCTCCAGCAATGCCTACTTTCAACGACCGATGGGTCAGGATGCAAGGGCCTTGGAGGGCCATGCTGCCGTTCTTCGGCGGAAGTCGCTAAGGATGGGCCGACGGGGCAGGGATGCTGGGTCAGCCTTGGAGAGCTGCTCCTCCTCACCATGCGGGCTGACCGTATTGGACCATTTGTGTTCGGCCCCGGGAGGCCCTCGGCGGGCCTCCGGGGGCCGTCAAGAGAACGCCGCGGGACGAGAAGCCCGGTCCCTGGGACACACAAATAAAACGATTCCCCATATATTATCATATTTTCTGCGTTTTTGTCTTCCCCCCCACTGCCCATGTTTTTTCTATATTTTCTGTGAAGCCGCGGATTAATTTTGTCTGTGTGTTTCTTTCCCTCCCGAGAGAAGCCCGGTCCCTGGGAAGGGGGCCAGACCTCCGCAGAGCCACGCTGCGACTAAAAAGACGGCGTCGGGTACTTGGGGCCAGCACGACGTGCGCGCGGGAACATGACCGAACGAGAATGGGAAGCGTCGCCTTTGTCTGTCGGGTCCCTTGAGAAATAATTGTCCGTCGTGCTGGTCTGCCGTGCTGGTCTGTCGTGGTGTGCGTACCTTTTTGGTACGTTCCCGACGGCCCGCATGTGCGCGCGGCAACCTGGCTGAACAAGAATCAGGGAGACGTAAGGCTCGGGTTCGGGGGACTCGGGCTGGCCTGACGGGACCATCCTGAAAATGACGAGACTCAATCTGAATTTGACGCGCACTCCCGCGGCAGACGTCCCACGAAAACTGGGCCGTCAAAGTCTAGGACGCGCTACTCAAAAAGCGTCGGCAAGCCCGAACTCTGGCATACTCGAGTCTGACGTTTCCCCGGAAGATCGGGAAGCGCTGCTTTTGTCCCTTGGGCTCGTGAAATATTTTCTGCCGTGCAGGTCTGTCGTGGTGTGCACACGATTGCGCGTGCGAGTGGAGTGCGTGTGTGCCTGGTGTGTGTGTGTGTGTGTGTGTGTGTGTGTGTGTATGTGTGTGCGTGTGTCGCGCGCGTGTCGCTCTCGCTCGACCTGTACTACGCCGCGCCGCTGCGCGCGCGGCCGCGACGCCCAAAACAGTGTGTGTGTGAGAGAGAGAGAGAGAGAGAGACGCTGTTCGTGCGGCATGCAACCAGTGGTGCGACGGCGGCAGGCCGGCGGCGCGCGGAGCTCCACCCTCTGGCCCGCAGCCGCCTCGGCCGTGGACCTGCCCGCTCGTGGCGCTGCCTCCCGTCCCGGAACCTCCGCGTCGCAGGTCTCGGGAGCGGCCAGGACGGGGGTGTCCAAGAAGGGGGGGGATGCAAATCATGACCGGCGGCACGTGCGCGGCCCAGCGGGGGGGCCAGGGACGTAATGAAATAAGAAGGGGCGCCATGAAATCTGGGGAAGTACGAAATACCATGGCCCCCGCCATGATATCCCCCCCCCCCTAGTCATCACCCCCCTCTTTGCCGCCCTCGAAGGTCGGGCGCCGGCCTGCCCGCCTGCCATGGCTCTGCGGCGACGGCCCGTCGCCGTGCCGCCGGTCTCTGGGCGCACCCTCGCCCCGCTTCGTGCCCGCGCGCTGCGCTCCCCTCCCCGCTCGTCGCAGGGCCTGCCCGGCCGCGTTGGAGCGCGCGCGCGTCGCCCTCTTGGCCCCGGGGCTCGGCTCTCCTGGCTTGGCTCGACCCCCTGGGTGGACCCCCAGAGGCGATCGCCTGGCTTCCGTTTTCCCCGCGCCCTGGGCGCGCTGGGCCCCTTTCCCTGGCGCAGCGCCTCTTTTGCCCGTCCGCTGCCGCGGGCCCCGCGCCCGCCTAAATCTGCCGCGGCGCCCCTCCAGCTGCCCCGCCCTCGCTCACCGCCCCGCTGCCGCGCCCCGCCCCAGCGCCCCGCCCTGCGGCCGCCGCCCCCTCGCCACCCCGCCGCTCTCCGGCCCCCGCCCGCTGCCTCGCAGCCTAAGCTCCTCGGCGCCGCACCCGGCCGTTGCCCCGTGAGGGGTCGGCCGCCGTCTCGCCTTTTGTTTGCCTCTCTTCTGACTACTGGGCTGTCTGTGTGTCTGTCTGTCTGTAGGTCGGTAGGTCTATACGTCTGTCTGTCTGTCATTGTCTGTCTGTCTGTCATTGTCTGTCTGTCTGTATATATATATATATATATGTGTACAGTTTCGGGATATGACTGTATACATGCATGCATAACTGTACGCATATATGTAGGTATGTACGTACGTGTATGTGTATATATGCACGTATGCATGGATGCATGCACACATGCATGTAATATGTATGCATGTATACGTGAATGCATGCATGCATGCCTGCATGTCTGCATGTATGCATGCATGCATGTATCTTTGTATGTAGTTTGTATATATGTATGCATGCATGTATGCTTGTATATACGTATGTAGGTATACATGTTTGTTTGTAGGTATGTCTGTATGTATGTACACCTCATGTCTGTCTGTCTGTATGTTTATGTGTGTTTCTGGATGCATGTCTGTCTGTCTGTATGCATGTATGTATGTATGCGTGTATGCATGTATGTATGTATGTCTGTATGTGCGTATGTTGTTGTCCCATCTTCTGCCTCCTGCTGCCATGCTGCTCTTTCGGGTCGCCCACGTGTGTGCTTGAACACCGCCTGTCGTCCCTGCCGGCCCCCCCTTCCGGTCGTACTTCGCCATTTCAATCGGGGGCTCTCACCGCAGTCGCGCTGTGTGCTTTCCGTTCTCGCTGGCCCTACATCCTTGCATGCGCTCGCATCTTCCACGTGAAAGCAAAGTGTGTGTGTGTGTGTGTGGGTCCTCCTCCGCCTCCGGATTTCAGTGTGTTCGGTTCCTGATTTGTCTGAGGGGCGGCGCCGTGGATGGCCTCCCCGCCGCCGCACGTGTGGAATTCGCGTTCTTCGCCTTCTTTCTCCACGACGTCTTCCTCTCGTCTTTACGCTCCTGTGCACGTTCTGCTGATGAGCTCTCTTAGCTCTCCTGTTTGTTATCTTCTCTGGTTCGACCTGCATGTGCTGTGGGCTCGTCTCTGACGCACCCGCTCGCCTAGCGCAGCCCTTTTTTTCTGCATGCCGACTTGCACTTCAAAGTCCACCCGTCTGCAAGGCTAGGTGGAAGCGAAATGGGCGTGTCGCGCCTTTGTGCTCGCGACGGTGCCGCCACCTCGCCGCTCGAAGAGAAGTGCGAGCTTGTGTGTGTGTGTGTGTGCGTGTGCGTGCGGTGGCTGTGTGTGTGTGGGTGTGTGTGTGTGTGCGTGTAAGCGTGTGTCTTTCTGATTGGTGTGTCCTGTGTGCGGTGTGATGCGAATTGTCTGCTATCTATATATATATATATACATGTAGTTGTATCTATATATGTGTATTGGTCTATATATACATATATACGATGTGCGTGGTGTGTGTGTGTGTGTGTGTGTGGGTGTGTGCTTGTATGCGTGACTGCATTCATGTGTGTGTGTGTGTGTTGAGCGTTACGGTCAAAAAAATTGGATTCACGTGTCGCGGCGGTGGCCCCGATGACACGCTATGCCCTGCGAGCGGATAGCGCGTCGCATGTCGCTCCGCTCCGCGGTGCGAGAGGATAGGGAAAGCTCAAGACGCTGACGCTAAGGAGTGGAGAAATAGATATCGTGTGGCGTCGAAGCGGGGTGGGCCAGAACCGGCGGAGCGACACGCTAAGCCTAAATTCCCAACGGTACGTCTTCTGTCTT